CCAGAATCGGAGGATCAATCTGACAGCTCGGCATCATAGCAAATGAAATGGGCCCATATCTAAGATGAGCCCAAAGGATCAGCCCAGCATAAAGAGTTAGTTAGAAAGCTTCTAGAATAATGGCAAAGGTTTATAAATAGACTGAAAAAATGAGGGAAAAAGGGTGGAAATATTTTTTGAAGTGTAAAATTATTCTTTCCAAATCGAGAGGGTATATTTCTTGCATCTTCAATAATGTTCATTGTTCCCAATATGTCATTTTATACGTTTCAATTTTATACAAGTTTTACAAATATTTTTTATATTTCAAATAAATTTTTACATTTATGAAGAATGATTTTAAATAGAGAAATCTTCGTTCTTGAGTCTATTAGACTATGAACCACACTATATAATCTTTTAGTAAGTTTGGAGGCCCGTTTGTCAAGTTTACTCTACTAGAAGTATTTCTTTATTAACTAGGCCCATTCGGATTGGGGCAAACTCACAACACATATGGCCCACCAACAGCCCAAAACATCCCAAGACCCCAAACTCGGAATGGGCCTGGGCTAGGCTAATAAGCTGACGAGCTGGTCTTTAAATATTATCAACGGTTTGTAGTTTATAGATACTTTTTTTCAAACAAAGTTGATAGTTTCAAAATTATTTAGTGCACTTTGACCTAATTTACTTAAATTAAGAGTAATGTTATGAATGTTTTTTTCATTCATAACATTACTCTTAATTTAAGTAAATTAGGTCAAATCTAATCAATTGAATGGGATGAGTTAAAGTTCACAGAAATTCACCGGGTACAGATGATGGAAAAGAGAATAGTTACTCACTAGAACTCTTTTCTTTCTCAAAAATAATGAAATTACTATCCTAACATCAAGCCAAATAATGATAATTTTTTTGTTTTTTTAACTTAAGTTCTTAGTTGCAACAGATGTGTGCTTCATGATCCAACTCATTTCACTTTCCAACCGAAGATGGACAAGACTCCCTTAGAACAATAAGCTAACTTTTCATTGTTTGGATTCTTGGAAACTACAATGTTGTCAAACTTTTGAGTAAATGGACTGCTGATTTTAATCGTGTGGTCTATTTGGCCCTTATAGCGTACCTGTAGTAATTGAGGAACACTTTGTTTTTTTTCTTTTTTTTTGGTAATTCAATGTATATGAGATTTCGCTCTAACTAATTCCCGAATACTCAGGAAGGGCGTCTCCCCACTCCAGGGCGGGTAAGTCATGCGAAGACGTGACTCCAAATTATCATAAATACATAGTGAGAATCCAACTCCAGACCTAATGACACGTGTTATTGTTGTGTAATATTTTTAAATTTTTTTTTTTATAAGGCAAAAAGGATTAAAAGTTAGGTTAATAGATGTATAGAGTCAAAGTCTAACACTCTAAAATTTACTAAAAATACTAACCTATTGCAGTATCAAGGCATCTGCACTCTTATGTCATGTTAAGAAAATAAATAAATAAACCGTGCCATTAACTTCTAAAATTACCTCTCTGTCCACTTTATTTATTTATTTATAAAAATGAATGATATCCTATTCATTAAAGCCAGAGACCCTGATGATTAATATGATTTGGACTACTTGAGGACACTCACATGGTTTCTTCACCTGCACATTTCGTTTTCCATTAATTATTTGACGGTTCATCACTTCCTAATCATTGTATATTATTATTTCTAATTCAAAACCAGAATCTATATAGGATTATTTTTCTATTTAGAAAGTTAAGTAAGCAACCCAATTTATTATAAAGGCCTGTCTCTATCCCCATCACTTTCTTTCTTGCTTCTACGTTTCAACACCACCACCAACTACACCCAACCCACCCAATAGATTATTAATATTTTAAAGGTCCAAACTACTAATTAAATAAATAAATAAAACTCATACTATGTGTGTAGGTTTGTGGACTTCTTTTAATAACGACAAAGAGAGGGGCCCCAATAACAAAATACTAACAAGTAAACAACAGTGATCTACTAATTTTGTGATTTGATTAATGATGTGAATGCAACAAGAGTGATATACTAATTTTGTGATTTGATTAACGATGAGAATGCAACCTTTTGAGTATGATAGTAGGGTCCATTTTAGATTGTTTCTCTACTATTTAAAGGTGTTTTATTTTTTAAAAATTTATATTTTAATGTGTTTGATAATCATTATAAATGTTTTTAAAGATTTACTAAATTTATTTCAGTAGAACTTTGGAATGAAATTAAAATTTGGAGGGAAAAATTCATCTCCATTTACTCTTTCACTGAATTAGTTCCGTGAGGAATAAAAAAGCTGACTTGACATTTACAGTAAATTCATATTTATTTTATCAAACTATTAATTTATACATACAGCTTTTGTATAAAAGATATATATATTATAGTATACATACAGCTTTTGTATAAAAGATATATATATTATAATATTTAATAAATTTAATTTTCACTTTATGAGTCCCACAATTTATACATACAGCTTCTGTATATATATATATATTGCAATATTTAATTAATTTAATTTTCACTTTATGTGTCCCACTTGACAAAATAAGTGGCACAAAAGTTGAAAATTAAACTTCTCCAAAAAGAAAAAACAAAACATTCTTCACAAAAAATCAACTTTGCATCTAAACGAAATGAAAACTTCCCCTGAATTAAAATGTTTAGAACAGTAACACACATCATGAATAAATTTCATGATTTGAATTTTGAATTATACGTGACTTCCTCTCATAGGCCAATTTTTCTATAAATGAAATCCAATTTAAAAAGTGGGCAAATGAACGATTCAATAAAAAAAAAAAAAAATTTAAAAAAAAATTACAAAAAAGAATTTGAATCACAGGGAATGAAACTAAAAATTTTCAATTAACATTACGGAAACGAATGAGAAGTTTATTACAAAGATAAAATTGATTTTCATTCTAAAAATTCGATGGCATAATATATTCACGGACTAATAATCATTTCTTCAACTAAAAAATCTCCCTTCACAACTAGTCCTATTTAGCTCTTCTTATCTATACATGTATCATCATATTCTTTTCCTCCCGAACAAATAAAAGGAATTATGAAAATTTATCATTTTCCAAATGTTTAATTTATCGTAGTAAGTTAATAAATCACTTTCTTTAGCCATAACAGTAAAATTAAAGGAAAATAATTAGGCCAGAATAAATTAATTACACCTTCCCTGGAGAGCAAAACAACAGAAGTCCTTACAACTGCAATTTATTGGTAATTAATATTAAAATAGTGTGTTGAAAAGTCAAACTGACGGTACTTTATACGTATTTCTGATCCATCAATCACTCAATCACAGAGCCACGTGAATGTACATAGTTTTATTAAACAAAAGTCTTGCCTTATTAAGATTCCTTCTTCATTCGTTCTACTCACAAACTTTTACTATCCCATAAGCCAAAGGGCACCAAATATCTATCATAGCTTTTATCAATTATAAAATATTTATTGAAATAGTTTTTATTTTTTATTTTTAAATATGTGAAAAATTAAATAAAATTGAATAAATTACAATGATCTCCTCTATAGAATATTTAAATAACAACAATCTCTCTTCTAATTTTAAAAATTATACTGATATCACCTCTAACTTTGATCAAAGCACCCTTTGAAATTATCCCCGATAGGATATTGCAGTCGAGAAAAACATTCCTTGGAGGAATAACTTATATGCAGGGGTGGACCCATTAAAGGGCTAGCTTGTGCTATAGCATAGTTCCCAAAATAAATAAAAATAATAATATTATTATTGTACATCAGTTCACAATTCGATCCGTATATAAAACTATTCTTTCTTTTAATTCGGTTCATATGTTATGCTATTCTTCCTCTTAGCACTTTATAATCATGATGTCGCCCCTGCTTATACGAAAAAAGGTTAGTACTTTGTAACATATTCTTTAATTAAGTAAAACATAACACTGTCCCTTAATGTTTTAATAAATGACACATTAATCTCTTTTGAGGTTTATGAGATGGTAACAAATTGCCACATTTATTAACGTTCAATGTTGCACAACATCAAATTTTGCTTATGCAAATGGAGAGTTTTTAATACCAACTCTGCCCTTGGAATGAGTGAAAATACATTAGAGGTTTTATGAGGAAAAAAATATCAACTGCTGTTATATTTGTGTAGTAAGCTCCCTCACAAAAGAGGTGAGTGTAATTATTGGAAATATACTAAATGTAGTTATTTTTCCGCTTTAGGATGAGAAATCAACGTAACGTCATCCAATAATATAATAAGCTTTAAGGACATAAAAGTAAAATCAAGAAAAATATCTAATAGATAAGTGTAATTTTTGAATGGAACAAATGAGACTATAATTATACTTAATAGAGGTGGAAAAAAAAAAAAAAAAAATTCCAATCTCTAACTGAGCTCAGACAAAACCATACTCAATGAGAGAGCAGTTTGATTCGGTTTCAAAATTTAAAAAGTTGTTTTAGTCTTTTGGGATAACGTAATTCTAGTAAATTTTGGGACTAACTTGAAATTAAATCAATATTTCACTTTTCAATTTCGATTTTAATATTTTTAGAACTATTAGAATCATTTCTTTAATATGGACTCATTTCAACCAAAAAAAAAATATATATATATATATATATATATATATATATTTTACTCATAAAAAAATGATGAATCCAGATGTTTAATCTCCTATGATGTAAAAATTTTTTGCAAGATAAATGTTATTTATTCACAAAGAAAATTATGAAGGTATATTATCCATGACCTATGTCACATAATCTTTGGTGTCGTTCTCACGCTTCGAACATGCTTTCGCTCTCATATTTTACACACGTTCTTGCTCAACTTCTCAATGTTTATAATTTAATTCTTTCGCTGTCACTCTCACCCTCTAATTCACTCTTGCCCCGGCTTTATATGATTTAGCCCATGACAGCCCACACTTCACTATTTACAAAACAATAATAATAAAGAAAAAAAAAATTAGAAAGGAAGAATGCCAACACAGCAGTGACACCTTCCTTTGTTCTTACGCCATTTACGCTAACAGTAACCGATGATTTTCTGATTTTATCTCTCCTCACCTTCTTTCTCTCTCTACATCTAAAGGGAAGCAAGCAGTGCAGTTGTCAGATTAGGGTTTTATACCCCTTGTCGACAATTTCAGAACCCAAAATAAGGAATCACGTCAAATTTCTCCGGATAAGGTGAATACAACCAAAGCATACCATGGTATGGAAGCTTCACTTACTGGCTTTCATTTGATTACTACTTACATATATGGTTTTTTTAATTTTTTATTTTTGTACTGTTTTGCAGATTTGTTGAATTGGGTTTGGGATGAACAGACTCATTTGTGGGTTCTTGGGCTGTCTTTGATTCAAATAAAAGAACCCAGAATCATATTTCTTAAGGTTGAGCTGCGAAAACCCTGTAATTTATGTTTTTGGTTTGTGCAGTTCCTAATTTAGATTGTAAGGTGTAGCTGGTAAACATTTGGAATTTTAGATCTACTCGTTGATTTGTATTTCACAGATTATCGATATAGAAAAAATAGGCAAAAGATCATTATTTGATAGTGGAATTAGTGATTTTCTTAGATACACAGGCTACAAGTTGGAGTTCTAGACTGTTTTGTTGATGGGTTTTGCCTAGATTTTGATTCAGAAATAGGAGCTGAGCTGTTGAAATTTTTCTTTGTTGTTGTGACTTTGAGAAAAAGATGTTAGTTTTTTGAGTTTTGGATTGTTTTGTTGATGGGTTTTGCTAGATATCAATCACACCTTGAAGTGTTATAGTTACAGAGTAATTGTGGTTGAGGAAGTTGGTGTTGGGAATGGAGGAACAAACAATTTTTGGTGTTGGTTCTTCTGCGAAATTAGCTAGGGAAGTGAAATTAGAAGAAGATGAAGAAGAGTTTCGGAGCTGTTGTGAAGATGAGGATGAATTGAAGGAGAGGGAAGAATCAGCAAAGGATGGGTACAAGGACGATCTTGACGAATTTTCGGTGAAGATGTTCTTCAAGGGTGTATCAATAGCTCAAGTTGGAGAGTCTGGTCCTGGGCTTTCTGGAATTGGGGTGGTTATGGAAAGGTCTGCTGATGTTCCTGTTATTCAAGTGCAGAAAAAACTCGATTTCTATGTTGAGGAATCTGTGGCTGATTATTTAGCTTTGATGGATGGTTTGTTAGAGGCTGTGCGTAACAATATTAGACGGGTATTTGCTTTTACCGACTCCAAGACCTTGTATGATCAGGTGAGGGATCCCACATTGTAAGAAAAACTAATTTTCCTGCAATAAATTTCTTCTATTTGATTGTTTTCTATTGATGATCACAGTCAGTTATGTGACTATGTCACTGAAGCATTGCCCACATATTCAAAATTTTGCTTAGAGTTAGAAGTTTTTGGTTCAGATAGTTTAATGCACTCTGTAGTAGTATTTTGCCACATCAAAGGAAAATGCATCTTTACCAGAGCCACAGATTTTCTCTCCCTTTTTTTGGGTCAAGCAATGTTCTTCAATTATTTTTCCTTGCATTTTTTCCTATTCAAGTAAAGTGTTGTTGTTCCATTTTCTTTCAGCTCTAAATTAGGCAATCTTTTGTCAGCTTTAGAATTAAATACAAAATTAGCAGTATGATCACTAAATAGAAAGAATATTTGGGTCACTATTTGCTATTTATAAAGCTTAGATAACTCGATATGATCATGATACAAATCACGTATGGTTTGGTTGTTCTATAATGCATCCTATAGTAAAAAAAGGCCATTACTCACAGCTGGGAAGAGAAGACTAGAGATAGACATAATCTTTGGTTTAATTTTGGTTGCTTTAAGACAAAGAACTCGCGTCCTCAGCCTTCATCCTGAAATTGTACCACTATACCAAGCAATGACGTCTATAATCCATCCTCAAGTGGAAGAAGAAATTTTGACTGATTGCTTTTGAAAATTGTGCTTGTCACTACCCTTCATGAATCTGATAATATGTGCTTGTCTGTGTGTGTGTTTGTGTTCTTTCTCATCATTAACTTTTTTACAAGTGCTTTTTCAGTGTTGATTGATGTCTCCTTGATCCTTATTTACATGGATTAGTTTACACAGACAGAAATATTACATGCTTCTTACTTGTTAACATCCATGAACTTTTTGACAGGTTATGCATGAAAAGAGTCTGGAAAATCCTCTTCTTATAGCATTAAGTCAAAGGATCTTAGAACATGCCAATGAACTGAACTCCTTTGTTCTGAAATTCGTTCCCAGTGTTGATCTCGAGAAACCATTACACTTAGCCAGAGTAGCTATAGGGATTGTCTCTTTTCCTGCTAAAGAAGATGACTCATTTGAACACTGTTCCATCTGTTGTGAGGAGAAGCCAGAACTATTTATGATCACCTTAAAATGCTCGCACAAGTTCTGTTCCCATTGTATGAAAATTTATGCAGATGGTAAAGTACAGTGTTCCCAAGTCCCTGTTAGATGCCCTCAGTTGAGATGCAAGTATTATATTTCCCTTACAGAATGCAGATCTTTTCTTCCGTTTAATTCTTATGAATCATTAGATAGAGCTATTGGGGAAGCAAATGTTCTCAACTCGGATAAAATTTACTGCCCCTTCCCAAATTGTTCAGTCCTGTTTGATCCTCATGAATGCTCGTCAACTAGTGCCAGTTCATCAAGTCAGTCAGACAATAGTTGTGTGGAGTGTCCAGTTTGTCAGAGATTTATTTGTGCAGAATGCGGGGTTCCCTGGCATTCTTCAATGAGCTGCGAAGAGTATCAAAACCTCCCACTGGAGGAGAGGGATGCTGGAGACATTACGTTGCATCATCTGGCACAAAGTGAAAGGTGGAAGCGATGCCAGCAGTGCAGAAGGATGATTGAACTTACATATGGCTGCTACCATATTACCTGCTGGTAAGATCACTTTCTTTTGAGATACTAGTTTGGGTGTTAGAAAAAAACTGAGAAAGCATGAAAGAAATGAAAAGAGATCATCTCAAAGACTATATATGGAACTTCTGAACCGAGTTTAAATAGATTTTAATTTCTTTTCCTGATTGTGAACCTACCTTTAGAACAATGATGTTTAGAAATTTAGAATGGTGTGAAGCATATTAGACACTGCTGAGAACATTTACAATGGCCATCTGTTATTATGTTTTTACTTAATATTACTGTTACTACTTTATTTCTCATTGCGTAGATGTTCACAAGCAATATCATTTTAAGAATGTTAAGTTCTGTATTTTTGTTGCAATTCAACCCTGCGGAACGATAAACTGAAATGGCAATTTTGTTGGAAATTCCATTTTGGTAGAGGGGTTAAGGAAAGATATAACACGTGTGGAAGTGGTAGCTACAAAAAGTAAAATGGAGGAAAGATAGAGCACTAACTTGATTATTGGAATGAATTTATGGAACTTCTTGTCACCGTTCATACAGTATGTGTGTGTGTGTGTGTGTGTGTGTGTCTATATATATATATATATGAGTATCATTGTTTTTAAACTGAGAAATTAAACGAAAAGTACGGGTCAAAGGAGATCAAGGAACCATTCAATCCCCATTTTCAGCTTTGTTTGGGTCATCATCTCTCTCTCTTATTTTTTTGGTTTTGGGGGGGGTGGGGGTTGAAGGTCTTAAGGATGCCTTGGTAAGATTTTCAAGATTCTCGACGTCCCGAGACATGTGGTGAGCACATCTGTCAGAGTATTCACCACAGCCATTGTATTGTGTAGGGCATAGTGCCTCTTGACATGATTATGTTCTTGGTGCTATCTGCAAATTAGGGTGTTGTCTCTTAGGCAGACGTTCTCTTTAGCCAACAAGCCACCATTTCTGGAGTTGCTCTCCAAGAAACAACATTTTTATGAACTAAGATAACTAGTTACAGATGTTCAGCTTACATTTGGGGGTGGAAATACAACAATTTGCTTTTGAGTACTAAACACATTCTTGTATTACATCAAGTTATGGTGATCATGTAACATCTTATAAGTATGATAACGAAAATTACTTCAAATATTATCTTGTCATATCAACATCTTATAAGTATGATAACCAAAATTACATCAAATAATATCTAGATTTCAATTTAAAATACAGATTCTTTCTAATTTGGAAATCAGCCTGGTCATAGTGGAGACTCCTCTTAGAACCTAGCTTAAAATTCATAAAATCACAAAACCTCAAGTAGAAAATTATATAATTATATAGTGAGATAGTAGGAACTGATTGTATGCATTCATATCAAAGTTTCGCAACACATTCATGAACTCGTTGTATAAGTTGCTCAACTGGCATAGGTTGTAAAAATCTTGGGTATGTAACCATGTTGATAGCTGGTTTAATCATGACTTGGGTCTTCGGAAATGTTGTGATGTATAGTTATAATTTTGCACCATTTTGCCTGGTGTGGGGTATAATGTTGTTTAGTTTGCAAAATTCTTTGAATTTGCACCCATTTTCTGTGGTGGACTAAAAAAAAGAAATGATCAAAACAAGCTCAGAAAGCTGTGTGAGTAGAATAAGATTATGATCAGAATATTATCAATTCAAAACACTGAACACGGAAGAATAGCTTTACTTTAAAAGTTAAAACATCCTATGAACAAACCATGACACCCTTCACTAGGGCTGCAACTTGGGTTGGCCCAACCCAGCCCAGTCCCAACCCAACCTCAACCCGAAGCGGGTTGGGTTGGGCCAACCCGAATTGTATTCACCATGGGTTATGATCATAACCCGAATCGAATATTTTCGGACGGGTTGGGTCGGGTCGGGTTGAGGTTTTTCTTTTTAAATTTTTTTTTAAAATTTATATATATTATATTATATATTATATATATATAATATATTATTTTATATATATATATATTATATATCTGATTATATTATTATAAAAAAATATATATATATTTTTAGGGCAAATCATTTCAGCCCCCCTATCGCCTCCAGCTCCATTCTCTCTCTCTCTCTCTCTCTCTCTCTCTCCAACTGCAAGTTACAAAATCTACAAGAATCAGAAGTTCAAAACCCACATATTACAATTTTATCTATCTGTGTGCTAGAATCAAAAGTTCAAAACCCATATCGGCATATCATTTCAGATTATTCAAAAAATCAAAACATCGGCATATCATTTCAGATTGTTCAAAAAATCAAAACCCAGATCTTTTAGTTTCCATCGCCCGCTGTCCAGTTTGTTCAAGCTTCGCCAGATTGGTTCAAGCTTCGCCAGATCATTTCAGATTTGTTCAAAAAATCAAAACCCAGATTGTTCAAGCTTCGCCCATGGACGGTGGCAGAGAGAGAAAGATAAAGAAAAAGAAGACAGGGAAAGAGAAAGAGAAAGAAAAAGAAGACAGAGAAAGAGAAAGAAGAAAGAGGAGAGAGAAAGGAGAGAAAAAAAAAAAAAAGCCCCCTTCTCAACTCTCAAGCTATGCCCATGGACGGCGGAGGATAGAGAAAGAGAGAGGAGAGAGAAAGGATGAAAAAAAAAAAAAAAAAAATGGGTTTTGGGTTGGGTTCGGGTTGAGCCCAGCCCAACCCGATTTTGTTTGGGTTTTGGCAAAACCCAACCCGAACATGAACCCGACTTGTGAATATAAGCCCCAATTTCAAAAATTCTGGGTTGGGCTTGGGTTGGGCTGGGTTAACCCGCCCAAGTTGCAGCCCTACCCTTCACTACAACCATGAAAACCAATATGTTCTTACCTTTTAAAAATAGGTAAACCATGAGAGAGGGGGGGGGGGGGGGGGGGGCCTGCCATTGAGAAAATAGAGAACAGGGGAGCTGTAAAAAGGAGATCTTGGGTGTTGGAAGTTCCTAATGTAGCCATGCATGAATGACAGAGAGAGAGAGAGAGAGAGAGAGTTTACACCCAAAAAAAATTGGGCTAGTTTGGTAGACCCATTGAGAGTTTACACCTGAAAAATATTGGTCTGGTGTGGTGGACCCATTTATTTGTAGAGGTAATTAAGGTGCACACAATAACAACACATGGCAGATTGTCTACTAGTGGTGTAAGGTAGTTACTGTTTGTTACTTCAAAAGATGTGTGGGATGTGGAATTTTGGATAATCTTTCAAGAGATGTGGCAAGCCTTAAGAGAAGACCCAGAAAAACTTGGAATTTCCCAAGGGATATATAAAACATATGATGCATTTTGAGAATGGAGAGGTTTACAACACTTTTAGAATTTTTTTTCAGCACTTTAAAAAGCCAATGAGATAATGAAGTAGGGGTCCTGCCCCCTTCATATGAGCTTGTTATTCCCTTCATTTCCTTTTACTTGTAGGCCACCGTAGTACTTTTGCTCATAGCTTTTACAGTTCCTTGTAATTTCAAATTTTCAAAGTTCATCTCAAACCGATTGTTAAAATTGTTTTACGCCCATGGGGAGATTGAGTCTGTCACTTCATACTTACCAAAAAAAGAAGAAAAGATTTGAGTCTGTAATTTCATATTTTCTCATGATAGAATTATCATATTATTAACTGCTTAGTAGAATTGCGAAGTTCTTGTCTTGAAGGCAAGAAAAAACTCAGACCTCAGTTGACCAATTGTCCAAGCTATGCATTCCATGATGAGCCAGTCCAAGCAAAAGATCAGAGAGAGAGAGAGCTGAAACACTAACTGTGGTCATAGAGCCATGACTGCTTCTACTGTTGTTCATTGATGAATGTGTATACATTGGCAGCAACAAGCGGCAAAAAGGACATAGAAGAGGGAGATAAATACCAAACTAGAAACCCTTATTGAGTTATGTGGATTTATGTGATAGATACTATGGGTAAAATGATTTAGGAAAAAAATATATTACGGGTAGAATGAAATCTAAGGTTTATAGGTATATTATTATAGAATATATATATATGCGTGCGCGTGTGTTAATAATATGGAGATAGGCCTTAATCCTTGTTCAATTATTATTGGATTTGGATCATAATCAGGTTGTTGGATCTTCCTCTCTGTCTACTTGATCTGGCTAATTAAATCCACCAGGTCAGATTCTGACCGAATTCCAATAAATTGACAGGCATATTTTAAATGCTCCTTTTTTTTCCATAAAATAACCGAAGGTCACTAAGCAAACAAATTTTGGACCATTATACTACACAAGCCTGTCTTTTTTCTTTTTGGATGTGCACTTTCCTCGAGCAGTCCTTTCAGCTCACAATGTGGTTTAATCAAAAAATAAGCCAAGTACTTTGGGTATATTGCCACTGAGATTGATATTAAGAGACTTCCATGTGTATAGCATTGCATGTGGTAGATACATCTCTTTGAAAACAAAATAAACAAAAATAGAAAGTGTTAAACATTTTATCGTTAACTATTCACGAACATTTAATATAGGACAAAATGTTTGGTTGTTAAAAAACAATATTTGCACAAATGAGCGTGGTAGAAATACGAACATTGAGATGGATGTGCGGCAAGAATAGAATTAGAAAGGAAAACATTTGTGAGATGGTTTAAATAGCACCTTTTGGAGGTAAAATGGGAGAAAATCAATTAAGATGATTTGAACATGCGTATTGAAGTCCATTAAGTGTACCAATTAAGAAGAGTGATATGGTCCACAAGGGCAATGCTTGGGGAAGGGAAACACCCTAGGAAGCACCGGCACGCCTAAAAGAGCAAAGAATCCGTGTCGGACATGCCAAAAATGTGTCTGATTTTTTTTTTCTTTATTATTATTATATTTTGAATATTTAGACACGGCATGAACATGCCTCCGACATGCCATGAATACGCATTCGACACGCGTCTCATTCTTGGGGATTTTTTTTGTTAGGTCCATTCCTGGGGATTTTTAAGTAAAGTCTAAGAAAGAAAGTTAGGTTGAAGTGTAAATATGAGGAGTTGTTATTAACTTTCAATAATATGGTTGTCAATACATAATTACTTAAAGTTGTTTGTAAAACAATTTTATATTAAAACAATCATATATTTAGGCTTATATTTTAGTTCAATATTCAAACTCTTGCACGATCAACTTTAGCTCTCTCTTGTTCTCCCACTGATCAAGCTTCGCTGCCGATGGATTGTCTCTCTCTCTCTCTCTCTCTTCTTCTTCTTCTTCAAAAAGTCTTAATACTTATTTTTTTCCCTTTACAACAAAATTTGTTCTCTCTTTTTCTTTTACCTCTTGTTTCCATGAACTTTTTCTCATGTGGATTCTTATCTTTATTTTTAACTAACCCCTAATTGTTTTTCTAACAAAACCCTAATCCTCTTTGTTTCTTTGTTCTTTCTCTTTTTTAACCATCTTTCTTTCTTTCTTTTTCTCGGCACAACACAATTTTTTTCTTTCTTAGTAGGTTAATAAAAAATAATATTACTCTTAATTTCTTAAAGTACAGCATCATATATTTAAGCTTTTGGAGTAGATGGTTGTTAACATACATGTTATCGTATATTTCCTTACTCTATCCATGTTACTTTTGGTCCTAAAAAATTGAGACATGGATAAGATGGAGACGCAGCAAATAATAAATATCATATATATATATATATATATAAATCCTTCAACACGCCCCTTACGCGTGGCCTGTGGCCTTATTTTGGTTCAGCACGTGTTTTTTCAAATTTTCTTTAATTAGGGTGATGGCGAGGTTTGAACTTAAGACCTTTGGCTCTGATACCTAGTTAACAACCATCTACTCCAAAGGCTAAAGTTGTTAGAGAGGGTGTAACTTAAATATATAAATCCTTCAACAATGTAGTTTGATTGAGATTATGGCCTTAAATAGAGCAAAATAGAAAATTAGGATTCATATAGTCAACCCAAGTACTTATCAAAATTTGTAGTTGTTATGATCACCCATACTAGAGAGGGCTATTCCCAAATAGAGTTTAAGCAAATTAGTATTTTCTGTCTTCTTTTAAATATGCTCTAAGTAATTCAAACAAACTGAACTGCTTTTGGAAAGTTCATCTAGATTTCTATATGGCATATAAGATCTGCTCAATTTAGAATATAATTCTCGTTACATGCCATATGGAAATCTAGATGAACTTTCCAAAAGCAGTTCGGTATTGTTGTCCCCCACAAAAGCTAAAATAGCAAAGCAATGTTCTTAAACTAACTGCAACAGGAGAAAACAGATTAAACTAAAAGGTGAAAAATCCCTTCTAGGACCAAGGACTTTCCGTATAGCAAGCAAGCAAAATTACTAATACCACTTGGATCTTTGTAATGAGAATCACATTCTAAATTGTGAACTAGTAGAAAATATCAATAATTTAAACTTACACTGCTCATCTTATTAGATAATATTTTGGAAGAAATATTGATCAAAATCATTAAGAGTGCTCTAATTACAATTAAAATCAAATAATGCTTAACTAGATTAGGTTAATTTTAATAGGACATTTTTCAGTAATTGAAAACCAACCTATTAACATTTTTTTACTCAAGCATCCATTAACACATAATGTCTGCAATTTCTAGTGAGTGAGTATTCATCTAGCGTCACTTAAAACAGTACCACCGGGTCCCTGAGTTATATGCTTAAGATGTTTTTGTTATTATATTTTTTTTTGCCTTTATGTCCTCTGCGTGGGTGTGTCCATGCACCTTGGTGTATTTCTGTGTGTGTGAATGCCTGTGTTAATAATGATGCCCGAATAGCTATGATTATTCTGGCGATGAGGATTTTGCGTGGTTCTATTTTCTTTTGTCTAAGTTCTTATCTTAATCAAATAAAGTGAGATCGTAACCATTATTTAGAAACTTGAAGGCACTTGTCGGTCTCCAAACTAACCATCATTGTCCTTTCACGATTGATCAAACGAAATATTAACATGCCAATTGTTTTTTTAAGTTCCTTAAGTATAATTGCTCGTGTTTTATCGTCTGCAGGTGTGGTCATGAATTCTGTTATTCCTGTGGTGCTGAATATAGGGATGGCCAACAGACATGTCAATGTGTATTCTGGGATGATGAAGAGAACTCCGAAGACGTGGTCGCTCACGACACCCAAGAATCTGAACAATGGGCATGGAACTCCTTTGATCCATTCCCTATGATTATGGATGCTTACTCGGAGCAAGAGAGATCGCAGCTGGCACTGATCCAGAGATTCCTAGCTGGGGGTTTCAGCCTCAGCGACCATCACCCTTACCAATCCCCACCTCGCTGCACGGACTCCTATGTTGATGCCATGAAGGATCTCCATCAGCTTCCTTGGCTTGAAAGGTTTGTATCCGTGATAAGTGATAACTACTACGAAGAGTATATCCAGTGAAGCAAATATTGGAGGAATGTGAATCGGAAATTACCAATTGGATTGGAGGTGGAAGAGTCTCTCACTCTCACTCCATTTTCATTTTCAGTAAAATATGTGTGGAATAGGCATTTCTTCTACTTTAATGTAGTTCTGATTAAATCATTTTATGCTGGAAAACTTGTAAAGGTGAACCTCTTTGCTCAAGGATGCAAAATCTGTGCATCATGATTTCTTTCTTCTCGAATTGTAAGGGGGAAAAGAAAAGAAAGAACATACCATATTTGATCAACAAATTGAAGGTCAATGAAGCAAAGCATATTCTTCTATGCGTGTGTGAAAAGGATGGTTTCAGAGTTGTAGAGACTGGAAGCATGCAATTTGAACTCACTGCATATCATATTTTTAGTGGTTTATAATTAAAGACAGCGTTACTAATAATTTGACTGAAATGATGATAACAATTCAAGTGTTTTTTTTTTTTTTAACATAACTATTCAAATGATCTAGCAAGTCTGGGAATTGGATAATCTGAGCTGTTCAACAACGAGTCTAGCAAATATTTTTTTTTTGATGATGTGAATTTGGAATTAAAAATCTGCTGGAAAGGGCTTTCGAAGTGTACTCTATTAAGTCTCCGAGACTTAAAAAGGAAATGGCTTTGGAAGTACTCTCCAATAATGCATGTAATGTAATTTGCGAACAATTGCGTGCATTCAAAGTTTAACCATCCGAGTCTCTAAAAGTGTAAGTGATTTGTGAACAAATGTGTGCATTCAGAGATTGCAAACCATCCAAGTCTTTCAAAGTGACTCAATAAAACAAAATAAAATAAAAACTGAATTGAACATAGTTGTTTACCTGAATCTTCAACACGTCGTAAACACAAGCAACTTTATCTTTGTACACACATTTGCATACAATTAACAATTTACTGTTTGTACCGTTTACAGAAATAAGCTTTCTCAGCACTATTATATTGAAATTGTAACTTTTTCTACATGCGTAAATCCACACTCATTCTTCTAATAAAGATATAAACGCTATTATAATAAGCAGCTCATCAAAAAGCCTCTTCTCCAGGTGCTCACTTTCCACAGTTGAACCCATGACAAACGGAGAGGACTATGATGAGAATCAAGGCAATCAAAATACCCAAGACAATCAGCTTGATTTTCATGTTTTGAAGCCACATCTTCCTCCGGATCTTTGTTCCCGAACTCTTAAAGTCTTGTGCCTGTTCCAAGCAACGTATGGAAGATGTTAACACAGTTTCTTCCCGAAGGAATACAATCATGAAAAATATGTGTCAGAGAATTGCTGAGGCATCATACAAACACAGTTTACAAAACAAACTTCCATTCAGAATTGTTGTCCACAATTACACAGCCAAAGCATAATTTCAACTATTATTGGTCCTTAGTCTTTAAAATATAGGAATCAACAGGACAAATATGCACAGACTTCAACGTTCAGATTTGTTTTTATCTATGGCACTATTCAACATGATATAGTTTTTATGCAAGTAATAGTATCTTCATAATTTTATAATACCTAACCCAAAAAATAAAAAACCAAAAATATGGAATGATTGTTGTCCACAATTACACAGCCAAAGCATAATTTCAACAATCATTGGTCTTTGTCTTTAAAATATAGGAATCAACAGGACAAATACGCATAGACTTAAACGTTCAGATTTGTTTTTATCTATGGCACTATTCAACATTATATAGTTTTTATGACAAGTAATAGTATCTTCATAATTTTATAATACCTAACCCAAAAAATAAAAAACCAAAAATATGGAATGATTGAGGATGCAGGGTTGGCCTTTGCATTTAGTAGTTTAAACAATAACTTTTTAGCAAATCATATGTTTTCTTGAAAATTCAGCACCGGATTAAAGGAAACTGTTAGATTGCTGGATATTTATCCAAAGCTCCGATATGTCACAATGTAAGCAGTGAACTAGACCGAGAGGGGGGTGAATAGATCTTATAGACAATAAATCTAAATTTCCTTTACAATTAGGTAGTTATGCCTATTGTAATTGAATTTTAGGTTATATCCGTATGTTTTTTAATCCAACCATCACATAAAGATCAGAGACACCAATTTTTTACGTGCAAAACCCTAAACTTAAAAAAAGTACGGAGCCTAGTCCACCAAGAACATTCCGCTATGTGAGAAAAAAAAGTTACAACTAGGTTAACAATTCTCACACCCTCAAACACTAGTCATCTCTTGATACAGACTGATCCACCAAAGTCACGCACATCGTCTCCCGACACAAGTCTGCTCTGTCAACAACTTCGATCCTCACAAATCCACTTCTCCAATGGTTGTTCGTCCTTTATGCTAAAAGATTTGATCAGTTGAATTGACTTGTGTCAATATGAATACTCAAATCACATATGGTGTATGTAGGGATGGCAAAATCCCCATACCCGGTGGGTCCCTGCCCCTCCCCTCCCCTGTTTATGGCGGGTTTGGGAACCCATTTATGTAAATGGGGAGGGGATGGGGATTGTATTTGAAACCCCGGCGGGCCCGGAGGGAGGGTAGCCTTGCCCCGTTTATAGTGCGTTTTTACAAAAATGTCCTTACATGTTATAAAATATTACTAAATTACATAACTATATATATAATATATTCTGATTGATTAGGTTGAAAATTTCCAAAAATGTTGTATGTGGTTTTGCTATAAGTTTGATCAGGTTGAAATGATCATGTTTTAAATTGTTATAATTGTACTAAAGCTTTATTAAATTATTAGATTGAAAAATATTATGGCTGTGTTGATTTTGTTGAAGGTGAATTGGAATTTAAAAAATGTTATGTGGGGCGGGGACGGGGGCTAATGTGGTGGGGCAGGGCGGAGCGGGGAGGGGGTTGAAAATTAAACGGGTATGGGGGCGGGGATGGGGATGGGGATGGGGAATGAGATCCCTGCCCCGCCCTGCCCCACCCCACCCCATTGCCATCCCTAGGTGTATGTCTAAAGAAACGGTATATTTAGTAATTGGAAATTTTACTCTCCAGATGATCAGAGGCTTAAAATCCTATCCTAGATTGACTATAAACCCATATTTATAGCCAGCATAGGTGACCCATACGTTTCTGCAAATTGAATCCTTGTAAAAACCTGTTTTGATCAAGAGTTTCGAAAGTATAGGTGTCATGCTTTGTTTTGGAGAGAAATATGAAAGTATATTTACTGATGGAAACTATCTAGTTACAAGTTTCGATTGATCTAGATTTCTATTGACACCTACTGGACAAGCTTTGATCAATTCACGATGCAATAAATGCTGTCAAGATTTCAAACTTTCAATTCAGAAAACACTCATTTTTTTAAATTTGTTGAAACCTTTATTTATGACAAGCCATTTTTCAAAATTATATTTGAAACAAAAAACTTTGAGCCTCTCCAAGATCAAACTAGGTCTTGATAAGATCAATTTACAAGTGCTCTAGATATGTGATTGAGGATGCGAATGTCACATCATGTTCTTCACAAACCTTTGTCAACATTGTCTACAATGGTTGTACTCATATGACTTGTGACACTTCCACACATACAACACAAAGTTGAGTAGGACTTATTCCCGACAGAAGCTTCCAGAAGCAATTTCCCATTCTAAACTAGCCATGTTCCCGTTACAATTTACAACTTGCTCACATTGTGACTGACTTATACCATCACGGTCAATACCTTCACATAAAACAGCTTGAATCCCCCACCTTTAGGTTCAAATTTAATTATTCCAGGAGTTCAATCTTACTTTAAAAAATAAAATAAAAAATCCAGGAGTGATAGATTTAATTAACATTATGAATTGCTCATTTCAGTTGCAGACTTGCAGTCACTTTGTAAGGAATCTCAGCTTGTTAAATTACAGGGAAGTTTAAATATCAAAGAGAAACCAATGAGCTAAAGTTTAATCATTTCAAGTGGTATGGAACTGTTTACTTTAGCAAGCACACTTCTGTAACAAATTTCTTCACACACACACACACAAAAAGAGAGATAGAGAGAGAGAGAGACCTGCTGATGAAGATTCTCAGTCTTATCTACCAGAAGCTCTATCTTTTCCCCACGATCTAGGACCTATATCATAAAACAAGATGAAAAATAATGTTAAGGCACAAGTCTTATGAAAATTCCTTGAGTTTGAACAAGAGATAAGAATTTTGTGCAAAGCAAGTTATTGTTAGCCAAACTTTAATGAACATTTATTGTTTTTTTTTTTTCCTTTTCTCTGCCCAGTTTCCCCATCTCTGAGAAGAAGATAGATCTTTTCATGGAAGCTAAATCAACCTCTTACAATTTACATTGGGTTTAATGCAAAGTTTGGAAGCTTTTTGTGAGACATTACTATAATAACCAAGAAGGGATTGAGCAGGGGTCAATTATATAAATCAGAAGTACTTTTCTTCTAAATGACAACAATTTCTTCTCATCTTTTTGGTATAATTTTCACAGCAACACTACCCATCTGCGCATCTCAAATAGAAACATGGATTTTAAAGCATGCATCATACATGGACAAGTTGGTAGTTTGAAGTGGAGGACAGAGCAAAGTAAGGCCCTACTCAAAAATTCAGTATCATCTTGTTTCTCAGATGATTCTAGGAAACATGACTGAAGCTTTCCTAGCAGTTTATAGAATTTCAGCTTCATGGCAAGGCATAAATCCTGGAAGCATGTTAACTTATTGACGGGCTCTAAAGAAGTAAAAAAACTAAATAGATTAAATAGATAACATTAACATAACACAGAACTTGCATGGTGCAGTAAATGGGAAGTAAAAATGATCTAGCTTAAAGCTTGAGCGCCTTTCTATGAAATTTTACTTATCAAAAAAAATAAAATAAAATGGTCTAGCTTGAAGATACACAAGAAACAGAATCAAAAATCATTTCAGCTTCATGCAAGGCATGAATCCTGAAAGCAGGTTTCATATTTAAGCAACTAGCAGCAGTTTCATTGATGAAGAAGTACAAAAGGATGAAGTACAAGATAACAATAACAGTAACAATAACACAAACACGAATAACAATAACAGTAACAATAATAATAGGAAACTGATTAACAGGCTCTACAGAAGAGAGAAAATATATATCAGAAAAGACGGGATTAAATAGATAACATTAATATTACACAGAACTTGCATGGTGCAGTGACCAACAACCTTAATAATCATCAGAAAAGCAAAAGGTGTGTTTTCAATCAAACAATGAGAATCATTCATGGTCATTACCTAGTGTGGTCCCCGTTTGAAATTTACAAGACCATCGATACTACATAGTACAGTACGTTGGGCAATTAATTTATACCAGGTTCATAAATTGAAGAAAATGTTGACAAGGATGAGCATCATAAAAAGAAAATATTGCAAAAGTGACATACCAAACACAGATGATGAAACAGCACATTAGGATAGCTCAGTCGCATGTAACAAGGACCAATTCACAGAGAGGAGCAGAAAGGTATAATCTGATGTCTAAACATTCAACGACCAAGGTGAAGAAGACATGGATTGAGTTAGCATCAAAATGCATTTTGGTAGATAGGGTAAAAATTAGAGAAAGACTCAATAGTCATTAGATCGACTATTTTGTTCCATCCAACACTCGGGGGGTAACAAAAAACCTCATCATTAATTATGTTAACTTTCACTGCAGTAGAAAGAGATGCCAATTTTTCCATATATGTCACACTATGGGACAACCTGATACTCAAACCCATCCATGAAGGATCATTTCCAAATTCACCAGCCTCTTCTCGGCTCAGGGTCCATGTGGGTTTGAGTCGCCCCGCTAAACATAATTTTCGGGGGAAAAGAAAAGAAAATTCAAAATAGATTCGAGATAAATATTTTTGAAGAAACACAACTATAAACAAATGCTCAATATTTATATGTATTAACTTCTTAACTTTGTATTGAATTATAAAAGATCAAGAAAAACAAGTCCAATATTAAAAGAATTATTGAAAAATATTTTATAATCAGGGAGACAAGTTTCTCTCCTCCCAACCATGTCCTAATAGGGGTAAGGTAGTGTCAGGGTTGGACGGGTAAAATTGCTCTCCCTACCTATCCTTAACAATCTTCCAATGCTTTCCACCACCTGCATTTGGCGTTCCAACCTCATGCAAATCTAGGTAAAGTTACAAGCTTCACAAATATTCAAATTAGAATTAAACAAAATCTTTTCCAAAGGATAGCAACTTGTCTAAGAAGTAAGATGTCTATCTTAGGGTTTTACAACTATCCTTTTACCCTACACTAACAAGAGTAACATCTGAATGTTTAAGGTGTACAAATCCAACAGCGTTCAAGTGTCAACCAAGAGAGAAAATGATAAATTCAATTTTATTATGAACACATACAACATGTGTCAGGCTGGCATGAGTCCAAAGGATGGGTGATCGGCATGGTGACTTGACTTTTCAACAGATATCTCCATTGCTTCGTGTGATTGTAAAAGCACAAGTTCACAAGCAAAAAAATTCAGATTGCATCTGATAGCATCCACTTTGTACAAAAAAAGGCCACAGGGTAAAGGCTAAATTTACCTCCAGTCAACCCCAAACAACACCTGGCATAGATGACACCTACACTGGGTACTGACCTTTTCATAACATTTTCTCAATAAAATATCAAAATCATGATAGCAAGCCTCTCATAAATTCAGATTTCACTCAAAGGATGGGGGTTGAAAAGGACTATAAGGTGACATGTTAGTATGTTTCTGCATGGCAACAGAACAAGCTCCCACTTTATTCATCACAATGACTAAGACATTTGTTTTTTACAACTACTAACTATTAAAAAATTATATACAACATATATTTCAAGAAAAGACAGTTCTTGCCGATTCAGAAACATCAATGACACTAAAGGCATCCGGTGACTTACAAAATAAATTAATGCCAGTACCTGTATCAGAAAAGGTACGACAAGAATGTACCAATTCAGACCCCAAATGTGGGTTTAAATGAGGCACAAAGCCAGTGCAAAGCCCAGAACCCATCTTATTCTAGAGACCTGCACCTTATAGACGATGTGGAAGGAAGTTGGATTTATCCCCAGGCTTGGTAATATTTTATTTTTCACGAATTAAATCGATTTTCTATGTGACATTCTTAACCTAATTATAGTTTCAAATTGAGGCCAGTGGTATTATTTGATATCAACCATAACATTCCTTGCATATCTCAATAAGATTATTGAATCATTTACGCATCACCTCCTGTCAGCCACTCATACATCATCAAGTTGATTGTTAGTATCTCTCCCAATACTGTTTACATATTTTATTTGAATTACTGCCAAAACTATGAAAAACATGACATCTTGAGGTCAGAGCTTCAATCATTTTGAGATCACTAAGGCTATTGCATGGCATTTGATAAATAAATGAAAGAGCATGCGACCAACAAAACACAAATCTGTACCTTTTCAATATTTTCCATCATAACACCTTTAACTTCTGAAACCTGAGCCTTCACCTTTGCAAGCTTGCTCATTTCTTCAGGATGATCAGCACAATACTGCATATGCTCCTTTAGCTTTGACCTGAAAAAGCAAATGTATCATGATCTGCTATTATAGCAAGACAGTGTCTGCCAACCATAGCTTTTTGGTCTTAATCACAGAGAATACCCAAAATCCTTGTTAAGGCTATTAGCAGGAGCTGTCACAGCCTTTCCACCCCCATATCTAGACACAAAATCATCCTTAACACGCTCCAGAAAAGCCATAGGAACCTGCCTTCCTACTGTTTCATCTGCAACTACACAGTATGCTGCCACATCAAAGTATCAGTAGTCTTATGTCAATATAAAATTTTGAATAAATTTTATAGGACCAAATATTACTTTCTAATGAAATAAATAAATAAATTTTAACACAATATAACAAAAACCAATTATATATGACAAAACAACCAAATTTTTTGACAGAACGTACAAAATAGTCCACTTTTCCAAATAGTTCCAAGTAACATGACAAACCTACAACAAAAAGTCTGCATTTTTTATACTTGCATGATCCTGAACAATATCATGACTATCCCACTGCAATCTGATTGTAATCATGTGATCCTGAACAATCCCATGGCAATAGCACTATGATCCTATACCTCTCTGATTTTGTGTACATTTCAGATTGATTTGAAAATTTTGGATGATAGGATTGTACAATCATATGAGCCAAATCAAGATTGTGCCAACCCTGGCTTTTCATGAGCTCTAGATGTGAACTTTTGGACCGCATGAAGTTACTCTATGGATAGAAAATACCAACAATCTAAAATATATGGACATAAGATGTGCTTGGCATGCCTATGTAAACAATAGGCATCTTGAAGAAAGGAACGCAAAAAACAATTTCCTCGCTTAACTAAGATGCTCTCCTAATTTTTGCCTTCTAATCATAATGATAACATGGATATTTCAGGGGTGCAATTTAGTGGTGTCATACATTTAAGCATAAAGTTTTGAGATTTCAACAATTATGTCATTTACCTATGTCATGAAATTTGTGGATTAGATGGATCAAACACCCAAACAGACCACCAACTCATGTACACTTGGTGCAACCAAACAACTCTCTCTCTCTCTCTCTCTCACTCACTCACTCACACACACACACAGAATATCCACTTCGATTCTTAGATATGGAGGCAAAACCATAATCAAAAGAAACTCCTGTGACCACGTTGCAGGCAGATGTATTCATTTCCTTTTAATTGACACAAGTACGAATCAAACTTCTAAAGGCACCCGCCGCACTCCTTATCTATCAAATCCAAAGTCAGCATTTTTATTAGTGTTGCCTAACCTTTACTCAAAAAAATGTTCAACCGAATAAATAGAGAAATATATTTAATACCATCGTAGGGAAGAACATTTCTGTAGCATCATTGCAATACAAAACCCTATAGGAGTAAAATTTGGACAGATCCAACATTAAATTAAGATGAGCACCAAAAGAAGTAACGCAGATGTGGAAAAGTCAATGGAAGCTGCAACTAATCCATATTGGATGTGCATGAAGTTTAAAACCAAGAAAACGGATAGAGGGGATCATCTTATGTAAACTTTTTCCTTGATTCTCACACGCACATGTTGACTTGTATATCGGAAGGAAAGCACTTGAGTGACGTGTTATCTATGCGAATCTGTTACTTTAGTGATTCCATAGCATCCATTCCACTAAGGTGTTTGTCTAATCACCACTCATCAGTGATTGCTAGGAGAAAATCACACTAGTCAGAAACATGTCTCCGAGTATTGCCACCAATAAACTGAGGTCGCGCCAATGACTACATTAAGATCTGATAAGAAAAGTAAAACAGAGAGGAGAGAACCGAGAGGTTGATGCAAAGATGAAAAAGAGAGAGAATATATATATATATATATATATATGACAGTATTCTTGTTTGACCTTTCTAATGTAGAGGACATGTTTGTCCTTTCACATTAAGTTTTTAAGTTGCTGTTGAAGAAACCTTTTTAACAGCATCACCTTTTTAGTATCATAAATTAAGAAAAACTTTCCATATACTTGTACTTATTTATACTTCAATTATATTGAGACTTGGATATTTATTTACTTAATGATATCTAAATTTCAATGACTATTTGAAACTTATGATACTATAATCAGATATTTATACAATACAAACTTCGCGTGGCAAGTCAAAAAAAGAAAAAGAAAAAAGGGAAAATATGTTATGAACTTAATACAACTGAAATTTACAATGATTTCTTTGTTCAGATTTGATATACAAATTTTAAATGCTTCTTATGTCTCACATCTAGCCAGATTTTACATTGGTATTTTCTCAATTTACAACCAAATTAATCCATTTTCATTTGCATTTTCATGGTTGATTTTATCTTCTTCATCACAATTCTTTCTCAAAATATCCATCTCTGTCAAAGAGTATTCTGCTAGTATATTCATGTGGAAACAATTATGAGATGCAAAAATCTAGGAATCTGGAAACCCAATCTAAAAACCACCATTTCAGAATACATAATATCAAACCATGTTTTGATGGGTAAGACAAGCCCGCTTTGTTCAAATCGGACTTGGAACCCTCAAGAAGATAGCACTCAAGCCAATGCCTGGTGGTAAATATTCCTAAACCAAATGCAAGAAAAATAACAAACACAGCCACAATCTCATTCTCTCTCACCCTTCACTCCATTTTCCCAGCAACTACAAACAGTCAAAATCAAACCAAATCCCAAACTGTACCAAAAATTAAGAACTCGGTAACCCTTTGAAATCAAAACAACTCATCAGAAAATCACTAATCACGACCAAACAGAGTCACGCGTAATCTTCTATTTGTTTTAAAACTCAATCGAGCCAAAAAGGTTCAACTAATCCAGTTTTTTGTTTTACTTTTTCGCACAAATTTTCTTAGCAATCAAACAGATCCATGGAAATGAATAACAGAGCAAGTAATAGTAGAAAAAGCACTCACTGAAACCATTATCAACGAGGTAGTTGAAGGTGTGGCCATCGCAGTTGTACGTGAACTTGGTGTTGGTGGCCGGAAGTTTCTGGAGGCATTGAAATGCTATGGAACTGAAATTTCCACTGAATTCGGTGAAGTCCGCGAGAATTACAGTACCACGAGAGACGAATGCGTAGATGAGTGATTTCTGTGCCATCTTCTCACCCCTGAACGGACTCGTAGTCTGATCTTAGGGTTTGCACGCAGATCTGCTTCTCTCTCGTGCTTTTGTAGAGAGAGAAAGAAAAGAGAGCAAAGGTGGGAAAGGTTTAAATGAAGCGTTGAAGAGAGAGAAAGTGACAGAGAGTTGCGTTTTACGCTTTTATTTGGATACGCGGACGAAAATGCTCTGCTTCGAAGAAAAGTAAGGGTGGCATTTAGTATGAATTTATTTATTTTTGTTAAAATTAGTATGAATTTATTGTTTACATATTTGTGTTGATTTTTGTTAAGATAATTAGAAATAGAGTGGTAAAAAATTAGAAATAGAGTCCGGATCCTTCGCATTACAACCCGATTGTTATATTGTACGGGTGATAACTGACGACTTTTGTACTGTACCGGATGATTCATATTCCATCTGTTTCATTTTAGATGTCGATCTCGGAAATTGGGACTTATAATTTTGTGAGATAGTAATTTTTGAAACCGACATCTATAATGGGAGAGAGGTAGTAATTCATATAGTAGAGTTTAAATTCTCTGCATCACAACACAGTTACATTAAATGGTTAGCGGTGCATCCAGGCAGGGATGTAGTGTAGGTTCAGTAGGAGTATTCGTCTCGCTAAAATTTTTTATTATTACATTTTATATTTTTAAATTTGTACTTTTTTGTATTTATGTTCATAAAATTTTGAAATTTCCACCACTAAAATTATAAAAAAATTCTTCTATATAAATTTGTTCCCCTAGTATAAATTTCTAAATCCATTCCTGGATGCATCGATCGATACATTACAACATTAGTACTGCACTATATCTCAAATGTTTAATATGATTCCTTTATAGGTTGATGAGGCTTGTTTAACTAAACATGCTGAATGCACATGCATGAGATCCAACCCATTTTAATCAAAACATGTTTCTAAATGAATTGACACTATTCTAAATCCTTAAAATAATAATGAAATTTTAAATATGCAGTACTCCTACCATATTTTGAGTCTCTTAGACCCATTTAAGAAGTAAATTTACATAAATTGTATTGTAATACCTGTTTAATAATTGTATCATTTTTTGTGTCAAATTTTCTTGACATAATTAACCATCATATTATGTTCAATGCTTATATTAGGACTCTACGTTTGTTTGAATGTAAAATGTTTTTTAGAAATTATTTTTTTTAAAAATTTTTTTTGATGTCTGGTTGCCGTAAAATATTTACCAAGAAAAAAATATTAAAATTTAACAAAAATAATTTATCTATCAATTTTTGACAAGTTATTTTACAAGTCCCGTCTTGTGGATTTAACCTTAACCTAAAAAAATTAAAAAATATATTTTACGTCGAAACAAATCATAAAAAGGAAGGAGTATAAATAAAAAAAAAAACATTTATTTAAAATTATTTTTTATACATTATCTTACTTACCAATATATATATATATATATATATATATATATATATATATATATATATTTGTTAAAAGATAATATTATAACTACTTGGACTAGTCCACACTTTTACATGTCACCAGATTTACAATCCGTTCTACTTGTGATAGAGGGAGAAATAAGTAAATTGAGGGTTCAGTGTCATTTTCCAGATCTATCCTTTATCTCTTTTGTTCTATATATATCTCTCGAGATTGAATCTCTAATCTATATCTACATTTCGCTGTTGTGGGACCTACTTGATTTAATTAACTGAAAATTGTTTTAATATACTATTAAAACAGAAGAAGTTTTACAAATCTATTAAAAGTCTATTATCTAAATACAAGCATTTTTATATTAGTTTTCATAAAATTATCAACCAAATGAATTTTTCAACATTTTGTTTCTCAATTTTTTTAAAATTTTAAAACTAAATAAATAAACCAAGTAGGTCCATAATTTCCCTCCCTTCATATCTTTCTGTTTCCTTCCCTCAGTCTCTCCAGTTCTTGACAGTGGAATCGTTTCTATGATTTTTGTGCATTGCCTGGTATGAGAATGGAAAATTGGGGATGCAATGTGATAATGATAAAATGTATTGTAATTCACTGTTTAAAAGTGTTACAATAATATATTTCGATATATATGTTGCATAAGTATTATATTCTCAAAGTAAATGTATTGCATTGTTCATCATTAAATAAAAATAAAAATAAAAATAAAAATAAAAATAAATTAGCAGTACCTTTCGATTTTGTAATTTTGCATTATCATCGGCTAAAAGTGAATAATGGGTTATTTCAAGGGGTTATAAAAGGAAAAGGATTTGAATTTTCAATTCGAATAAAACTCAAGTAATTCTACAACTTTATTTTCTAACATTATTTAACCTAAGTATTTGTGTCGAATCCAACACCCCTGACGTAGTAAAGAAAATCGGCCCCTAATACACATTTTGGGAATATTTTCTGAACATTAGCTCATGTTAGGAGAGACATAAAAATTAAGATGACACATAATGTTCTATAAAGCATTTTTTAAACTCTTTTTTTTATGTTCTATAAAGCATTTTTTAAACTCTTTTTTTTTATTTGCTTTTTTCTTTTTCTTTTTTTATTTTTTTTTTTATAAAAAAAACTTATCGAAGAATGACCTCCACCTTCCTAGAAATTAGGGAGCAAGTGTTTTTTTTTTGGTGCCAAAAGTGGAATTGATATTAAGAAAAAAAAAAAAAAAAAAACTACAAATAAAGAACACATTTGGTTTTCAAAATTCTCAGATTTTATTTTCAAAAAAATTGAAAGCCTAAAAGGCTAAAACCAAATGTGAAAAGAAAATGAAAATCATAATTCATAACTTGTTAGCTTTAGCAATAAGGAGTTTAGAGAGGTCTAGCATAATTTTTTTGTCCCTTCGTTAAAATTGACATGTGACATTGAGGTCTGCCACATGTCCACAAATAATAATTAATAATAATATAAATTAAGTCAATGTTGGTTTTCTATGAGCAGTGTCTATACCGTGTATATACGCTAAAGTGCTACTAAAGCTTGCTTATAATACAAAATAGAGTGAAATTAGATGTTATATAAAAAAATAAAATCATAAAACTACAAAGAATAGTGATGTGGATAGGCCTAGCTATATCAAACATGTTTTTGCAAGGACAAAAATTGCTCTTATAGAACTCAAAAGATATCAATGTCGGTTGCTCATTGCTCCGAATAATGTCTACATTTGTAGAAACAAGGATCTGTTCTGATGATTTGTATGACAACAACAAAAATTGCATATACCATCCAATCTAAGCTAAGTGCAAGAGCAACAAACCAGAGAAAATAACAGCCAAAAGGAGAAAAAAAAAAGGAAGAAAAAAGAAAGAAGAGGAGGTAGAACCGTATGAAACCAAAAAAACTACACCATACAACCTAAACCATCTCCTAGAGGAAAAGCTATAATGAGGGCACTCTCATCGAGCTCACGCCTTCTTAACCGTTAGATCAAGAGACAGTTGCAACTTTTCAATCCAAGTCATGGTTTGAGTGTGCAAGCTCAGTGAGAGTACCCTCATGATGACTTGCTCCTTCCCAGCTATATCACTTTAGGGACCAAGGGACCTTGGATAACTGTTTTTATGTGCCCATTAGGCCATTTCTGTACACACTGATATTCTGAGAAAGCAAACAGTCCCCACCTGAACCAAGACTTCAGCAGCTTAAGATAGACTCTTGTTTTAAACATTTGACAATTTAGAGGACGCGAAGTGGTTTAACTGATGCACTTACCACCAAATGAGCTTCTCCCTCCAGAATAATGTCCATCAAGTTAGCACGATTCGATCAAATGGCTGCTTGACGAGCTGCTAAAGCTTCTACAACCAGTGGAGAACTAGCAGGCCCGATTAGACCTCACTCACATTCTGGATTTGAAGTCAGCATCATGTGTGAGGGTACCTGGCTAATGGCATTTTGGGGGTGGGGTGGGGTGGGGTGGGTGGGAGAGGGGGAGACGAGTGGACGGTGATTCCGGCATAAGAAAAGTGGGCTTTTCATCCTAACCAAGGGCACCTGGCTTATGGTATTTTGTATTCAACAGGGCGCAAGGACTTGCAAGCAATCCCCTCTGAATTGGTAAAAACGTTTTTGTAATCAATCAATTTCAATATCTAGATGAAATAAGCATGGTATGGTAACATCATTGTGATATTCTATATGGATGTTGTGACACATCCAGTTTCCAAATGGAAGAAAAACATTGGGTAAAGTCTACATTGCAATGGGCATAAGTAGTAAAGTCTGGACATAGCTTATACTGCACGAGACATAAAATGGTTTACAGAAACAAGAAAGTTCACTGATGCCTTAGGCTTACCAACTCAATATCAAATATGAGAGTTCCCAATGTTGAGCCTTCTCCATTGGCAAGACGGGTCGGATTGAAAATGGTAGTAAACAGCCTCTGCCTATCAAAAAACTGTAAAAGAACAAAAACCATCCAAAAGAATATTTAAGCAAAGATATCAGGGATTGGTGTACTAACTACAACCGAATCTAAAAGCTATTGTTGCTATCTAAGTCATTTGAATTGAGGCGAGTGATGACATGACGCCATGATATCACATGTTATAATTACTTAACATCATTTCTTAAATATAAAAAAAAAAAAAAGAAGAAAAAGAAAAGAAAAAGAAAAGCAATATCCTTTATGACATGAGGATTAGTTGCATCACACCCCATAGAATTGAATCACTATTTTATTGTAGCATTAGAAAATTGCCTAAAGCAACCCCTCAACCCAATAATGTATCAGAATATGATATTCTTTAGAAGTAATTTAAATAATACCACCCTAGTTTTTTTTTTTTCTTAGTTGGTACTCACACACACATGCCTCCACTGAGACTCGAACCACTGACCTCCCTTTGAGAAGTATGGGTTTGGTACGGCTAGGCCACTGGCCTGTTGGTAATACCATCCAGTTAGTTTAATTACATCTCTAGGCAAAAGATAAATAATGAACAAAACAACTAGTTCAACTTTACTAACTTCATTTTGTGTGTGCGCACGAGCATCTTTTACAGTCTACTGTTGAGAAGACAAGATGACATATGTATGCCTTGCATCCTATCAGCAACCTAGAATTAAACCAATGATAAATGAAGGGGATTTTAACAATCAGGGCGTTGACATATCTTCAAATGCAGGTACCAATTCAGCAGTCTCAAAGTCTCCGCATCGGCGGAGTCTCAGAAACTTGGCTGAGTCCCTAGAGAATCAGCCAAGTCTGCACATCTGATGATGTGCAAGGTCGATAACCAATCGTGTCCAGAAGCAGAAATTAAAGCTTACTAATATTGACATAGGAACTTATATGAGATTTAATCCCAATAACCAATCACGCTCTTAGATGTTATATAATACCCTAAAACACATTAGAAATATAACAAAGAGGGATTGTGATTATCTCTCTGTTAATTTATAGAGGTCTCTAACAAAAAAGAATATATTCACAACATTGACACTGGATTTCTGTCGCACATTGATTGATACTCCTGTTACTACTTTGCTTGTTACAACAAACAATACAAAAATCTACACCATGACCTAGACAATGTCATTCTTTCTCATTATGATGGCACATTAGGTGATAGGGGGGCAATTTAGAGTTATACACGCAATCTATAACAAGTAAAAGGCACACTTCCCTATGTGACAGTTTTGCTCTCTATTTGAACATAATAAGAAGGATAAAACTAGTCCAAAAAAAAGTAGTGAAACCATAGACATGAGAAGAAGTTAGAAAAATGGGGTGCATACATTAGGCGGTAGGGGTTCTTGAGAAGTGTTCTGATATCCTTGGGATGGTGGGATGATGACTCGACGTATGCCGCCTACTTTCATTGATCTTACTGCTGTTTCAATCCCTGCTATGACCTGCAATAGTGTAGACATCAAATTCTAAGGAATCCTCAAATTGATAAATTAATTAATCAATCAAATTGAGACCAATTAAAAAAGAGAAAGCCATATTCTACAAACAATAGACCATGGTGACAAAAAAAAAATGGAGAACAAGAAGAAGAAGAAAGTTCCTTGTTAAAGCAAATAACATTTCTTGTGACTTGTCAAGTCTTAAGCTAATCCAAATGAATACAATTCTTGAATATCATGCTATTTTGTTAAATATTGTCCAATATCATTTTTGACTCATAACAAGAGGGAGAACGACATTTGTCCTACATCACCTTATTTTTCCTTCTTTTTACCTTTGTCTAGTTTTCTTTCTTATTTCTAGTCTTCATTATTTGTTTCACGTATTTTTTTTATTTTTTATTTTTTTTTATATTTTATTATTATTATTTTTTAAACAACATGCTTGGAGAATATATAAATGAGAAAATATGAGATAGAAATTGGTTGAGGTGGCAAAGGATTATGCAGGACCTTAGAGACCTGAAGTATATGAATCGTCTCGCAACGGAATGTTTTGGGAAAAAAATATTTTAGAAAAGAGCTGACAAAGAGAGAAAGGAGGAGAGGAATTAAAAGGAGGAAAAATAGAAGGAGAAGGGAGAGAGAAATTTTCACTTATGTACTTCCCAGGATTTTCACCATTGGTCGAGCTAGAGAACACACAATTCACTCTCAATACCATAATATCTTAAAAAGAAAAATTGTAGCCTGATTTACAGATGAGGTTACTCAAGAGTGAAGGTATTTAAAGGGTGAAGTAACATCCTAGATGACGGTGAGGTTTGAAGTTTGAACACAAGACCTTGCCTGCTCTGATACCATGTAAACAGAAGTTCAAATTTCAACTAACTTGAATAAATGAATATTTGACCTTTAAGTAATCAGTCAAGTAAGAATCAGTATTGTATAGGAAGATAAAAAGCATGCAAGAAAAGAACAACTTTTATGTGGAAAACCCAAGAGGTGAAAAACGACAGGACCCAGATCAAATCGACAATAGAAGAAATGAAATTATAATGCTAGGTGTTAGTTCTAAACCCTAGAATTACATAGTACCTCAGATCCAGACTTACGTTAGTTCTTCTTCCATGGACACTACAGTTACCGATCTATGAACCCATTCCTCACACAGTTTGTTCTTCAATTTGAGATTGATCTCCTTTTCTAGTCATCTAAGCTAGTAGGTTATGTAAAATAAATTATGTTTAATTCATTGACGCAAATGGGTTGAAGTTGATGACACTTGATAAAAGTCACCAGCCAAATGCTTTATGATGAATGAAAGAAACAAAAAGTTCAAGCAATTTAATAACTAGAATGCACTCAATATGCTTAAAGTAGCTTAAAGTATGCATCTCTATGCTTTTATCTCCTTAATGTATTTTTCTGAATACATAGTAGCCTTATATAGACAAAATAATAGGGTTTAGGTGTTTGAATCCTCCTTGAAAACTGCCTTTCCACGTTGTTCAATTGAACCTAGTCCATTCAGATTCGATTGATGCTTTCATCGATTGAACTCCCTGCACACTTTAAAGTTTCCTTTGTTAAACAATTTTTATGCATATAAAACTCCTTTTTAGGATCAAAATTTGTTGTCATGAACTCTGGACATTAATAATGCTGAGAGTAAATAAATATGAATCCCAATTGGAAGAGTGTTTTAAAGTTGAATTTATATATATCCTTGCAAAATCTTTAAAATTTTCACAAACTTCTTGGATTGAGGTAACTCAGCTAACTAACTGACTTTGAAAATAAAAACAAACTTAAAATCCGAGTTATATACTCTTGTTTTGAACGAAATTTGTCAACAAACTTAAAATCTGAGTCATTAGGTGCTAGTTTGGTACGGAGGAATGAAATAAAGTAGGAATGGAATGAACCAGAGAATGGAATGGAAATGGAATGAGAATGCAAAGACCATTCCCATTCTCTCGTTTGGTTATGCATGGCTTAAAAAGAAAAACTAATCTATATATATGTAAACCAAATAAATATATATATATATATATATATATATATATATGCGTAAATATATATTTTCAATGTATATTTGGAAATTGAGGAGGGAATATCAAGAAAAAGTTGTCTTTTATTAGATCTCGTTGTTTTAGAAAAATGTATTAGCAATCACATCGTTCAAGTAAAGTAATTTTTAATATTATTTTTACGCCGTATTTTTTAAAGTGGGAATGGAATGCCCATCCCTCTTCTTGGAAAGTGGAATGATTTTAATGGAATGACCATTCTCCGAGAAAGGTGGAGAATGGGCATTCCATCTTTAAAATTACTTTCCAAACAAAAGAATGGAATTAAAAGCATTCCATTGCACTTTATTTCATTCCATTCCCACCTACCAAACTAGAACTCAATAGTTTCATGAATCATAGACTCTAGAATATTAAGCCTTGGTGAGGGCAATCTTGAGTTTCATTAAGTTGGATAGAATTATCAAAATTTTCTTTAAGAATGATTGCTAGATTTCTTTGGAAATATATTTGTGTAGTTTTAGCCTTTATGAAAATTTATGCAAGGATTATCAAAAGCCAGATTTGCTGATGCAAGGCAGCCTTAAGACCTTGTAACTATAAACTGTCTTGCAAACAAAGGTGGTGGGAAAAATTGAGTTAAGAGAAGACCTGAGAAAACAAAACAAAAAAAGAATGTACTTGAAGGAGAATAGGATGAGCATTGAAGTTGAAAGAGGATGTTAGAGGAGCATCAGGAGGACCAGGAAGGACGCATCTCTGGTGCAACAGTTATCATGAGCACCGGAATTCTATATACCCAAGTGTAGAGCGTGTATACACGGAAAACATTTAAGTAGTAAGCCCAACGCAAGATGAGTGCCCTCCTGTTTCAACTTCCCAACCGCCCCTCTAATAGAATCAATAATTAATAGAAGTCCTAATATAAGTTGCATATGCCCAATAAAATAAATGCGGCTTATCAAGGTGGATGGAATAGTTAAAGATAGTATTTCCCAGAAAGTTACCATTCAAATTTTCCTTGTTGGTTACTCCAGCTGAGAATCATAACAAACATTCATTCATTCACTCAATAACATACAAAATTGAGAAATGACAACTGTACATAGCTTAACTAATGAAGTTACTTAAGGCTGAAGTACTTATAAGTCGTGTCATGTAGGTGACAGTTAAGTAGGTGACTAGTAGGTTAGTTGCAACTTACTAAAGAGGTCATCAAACGAGTAAGTACTTTAAGACTAAGAAAATTAAGATTGCCAAAATACCCCTAGTATCCAGAACTCAAAGTATATTTTAACCTAAATATAACAACCATAGCATGAGCAGATGAAGATGACACCATAAGAATGATAGTTGCCTTATGAAGCACTTTTGCTAACCACAACTACATCATGAGCAAGTGAATAAAAGAGAAATACTGAAAACTGTCTCGAGTACTTACTTTGCCTGATCCAAGGATGAATATGAATGGAATTGGTTCACCAGTTTCATCTTTATGATCATATGTAGAGTCAAAGCGCCATCCTTGTTTTGCTGCCAACCTTCCATAGTAATGAATTGCAACCTTTACAATCAAATTCGAAAGCAAGATTTTAATTTAATTAATCCCGACCCATTCAAAAGCCTCCCAAATTGTTCTACGTAAAATGGTTGCACAAATTCCAATTCTAGATCATACAATAACCAGTGTTTTTTAGCACACAACATGTAAGGCTTGTAAGCAGTGTGAATTTTGGCCATTTATTTCTCAACTCAGATTTTGCACAATGCAGGATTATAGTTTTGAAGGAACACCAACAATTGATGTGCCAGCCTGCCACAACTTCTCCCCTCCCTCCCTCCCTCTCCCCCCACAAACATAGGTCAAAGAAATTTATCAATGTAAACAATCTAGTTGAGAGAACAAATCATATCATTGCTAGTTCAGGTTTGTGCAGTGCAAAAAACTACAAATGATGCAGTCAAGGAACAACAAATAAGAACCTGTCAAAATAATGTTGTGATGGATGAGCACAGACAAAGTGTTCATAACTCAGTGCTGTGACAGACAGTCAATATAGTGGATTTAACACTTAAGACAATGAAGAAAAGGAAAAAGATGTCGTTCTAGATTTTTTACTAAAATTATTTTCCCACCATCTCTCACAATCCATCCTGTAATTGTTTTTTCATGTTGATACTATATAAAAGACAGGTGAAAATAAAAGGAAAGACCATTAATGTCAAAAGTTACAGCCACCATCCCCATGATTCAAGACAACATGTATTTGCATAAGAACATCCCCATGATTCAAGACTACATGTATTTGCATAACCTAATTTACCTAATGAAAATTGATCTCTAACAATGCTATCACAATACCTCTTTCTCCAACAGTACCAGCAATATACAAAAGAAATTATCAGTGCTCCTTATCAGTTTTTGCATGCCCATATAAGTAACAGGTTTATGAAATCAAATTGAGAATTCTGCCTTAATTTTAGGACAAAAAATCTGACCTTTGTGGGTTTGCCTTGCTGATTTAAAGCACAGATTAATATAATTGTTTGCTGTGGTTCCAACTCCACTTGAAATATGAGACCTCGCGAGTTTTTTTTCTTTTTTTTTTTAAACATGTGATTTTTTAATCTTCTCTCTTTTTTCTGCAGTGAAAATTTGATTCTTTTTGCTTCCATCTTGCCTATTTCTTACAGCAAAGGGTGCTCCTTCCTCCTAACTCCTTCCATTTCTCCTAGGGACAGGCCATCTCTAGCTCTGCTCCTATTGCTATAAGAGAGACAAGATAGATTAGTAGAGGTGATGTTAACTTTGTTTAGGAATAATGGCTTGGTAGAACTTAGTCTTCAATTGGGATTCAGATTGAAAAGGTGTTGGGCCAGTTCCTCATGTGTCTGATATAATTTTAATTAGGAGATTTGTTGGTTTCTCATATGGTTTATTTTTCCTTTACAATTCTTTTGGAGCACTCAAAGGACATGCATGAATCATGATGAAACAATGACCACAGTGAAACACTGCAAGAGAGAATAAATTTTGAGCATCGAATTGGCAACTTGGTTTGAAATTGGATTGTAGTTTTGAACTAAACTTGCTCCAATTCCAAATTCAAAGTGCCGATTTTGTGCTAGCAAACATAACATTAATTTATATAAAGGAGAGAAAAAAATAACAAATAAAAAATAAAAAGATTTTAGCATGAGGTTTTGTGGTGCATGCTATTTGTTGTTTAACTTGTTTATATCAATGACCTAGTTGGCATAGCGTCAAGCTCTCCGATCGGGTCCCCTCCCCTAAGCTTGCCACGATATAAATAAAAATAAATAATGAAAAAAAAAAAAAAACTAGAGGTGTATGTGTGTGCATACATATATTTCAAGAATTGCTCACTTGACCAAGTAAGTATATCTTGAAAGAATTAAAAAAATATACGTATAAAAAAAACCTTAACAAATATGAATTTCTTTGCACTATTGAACATGTATTTTGTGTGACGATAATAAATAATACCAGTGTCTAACAATCACACGCGCACGAATTACAAGCACACAAAATTTGGAAAAACAGAGAAGTTGGGAAGCAAAAAGATATACCACACAGATAACAAGAAAAATGTGTGTTTTAGAGAGAGAGAGAGAGAGAGAGAGAGAGAGAGAGCCTGATCGCCGACGACGGGAACATCACCAGTACCAACCCGAAGATCCAAGGCCTTGACTCCAGCTGAATCTCGGAGCTCCGAAAACTCAGGAATTACGGGTTTAGACCAGCAACTATCGTTGGGCAAAGTCCATATAAAAAGGGCTCCGGATGTTGCAGAGAAGGTTAATAGTTCTCTTCTTTTGGAAGATTTTGATGGGTAAGTTGCAGAGACGTGAGGAGAAAATTGAAGGTTGTGATGGTGAGGAACACGGAGAGACGGTAGAGATGTGAAGCACTGGATCATCATCGTTATCCTTATTCCGTGTTTTGGAATTATGCTGTTAGAAACAACTGTTTCAAGTCCCTTGAGTTTTAAAGGATAGTGCTCAAAACAAACACGTACCCGAGAAAATATGCGGGGATTAATAATAATAAAAAAATTACGCCGTCTGCGTGGTTAAAAGCCACGCGCTCTACCAGCTGAGCTAAGACGGTTCGAATGATATTTTGATATCAGAATAATTAGATATCATGTTAAAACTTCTTTCTTTACATCGGGGGAGACGGAAGTAGCAGGAAAGTAAAAGACATATAAAAGATTTAACTTTTTTTTTTTTTTTTATGTTAAAAAAAAATTTTATTTAGAAAATTAAAATTTTCCACAAGTAGTCAACTTTTCTCCAAACAATTTTCACATAAAACACACAACATTTTTTTGCTTCTTGTAAAAGCATGTGATTATATTTTAAGTTCTTATTATATCCCAAGTCGCATAAAGCGGGAACAGAAACATGAGACCGGTAGAATTAAGTCACACGTAGGGAGAATTTGAGTGAGAGCAGGCGGGATCACGCTCGAATCGTGAGAGCGACACCTTAAGAAGGATTGTGTGACTTATATTATATCCAAACTTTTATCTGTTGAATTTTCTCTTCTTTTTTTTTCCCTCCCTTTTTTACATTAGTACAATTTTTTTTCTTTCACAAACATGCATTAACTCGTGAAGTTGGCGTGTTCTTCGATTTAGCATTCTCTTTTTTACATTAGTACAATTTTTTTTCTTTCACAAACATGCATTAACTCGTGAAGTTGGCGTGTTCTTCGATTTAGCATTCTTTAAATTATTCAATTTTCAATTTTAATCATGCATACAAAATTGTTGCATACAATTTTAATAATGAGTAGACACGCATGGTATATATTGAAAGCATTATACTATACATAATATATCTGTGTATGTATATATCAGCCATATTTTATAATTTGGACATTTGAGTTATGATAAGTTTTAGAATTTAGAAAAAATATAAGTTGGTTCGATTCAGAAGGAATAATTCAAAATGTTTTTTTTTCGAAAATAATAATTCAAAATGTTCCATAGGCATAATTCTAGTTGAATTCAAAAAGAAAACTACTTAGAAATAGGTACAAAAAGAAATTAAAGAATGTGATAGAGGATAAAATAAATTCTTTCTTTGTAATTTAACACAACTTGACGGTACAATCGCATAATTCAAAATATGAATGTTAAGTTCTCATATGTTACCGTTAGTAATTGAAATAACAGAAAGAAAGTAAAATAAAGAGTTCGTCAGTTCAAATATTACTTTAAAAATAAGTACCAATATATATATGCGTGTGTGTGTGTGTGTGTGTGTGTGGAGGAGGAAAAGGGATTGAAGGGAATAACATTTAAAATATCACTTTTGCAAACAGAGCCAGTACTATAGCATAATTCAAAATAGGAATGTTGCTTCTATTATTGGACCATAATTGAAGTTTATATTTTGTGAACTTTATTTTTCTTACAACTACTTAGCATTTTATTTTTATTTATCTAAACAAATTAAAGAAAGATTATAGTCCACTTAACAAAGTCAAGGCCATTATCTGACTTGTCCCATTATAACTTTGTACATTTAAGCTATCTTTAATTAAAGGAAAGGTAATATATATAAAAAAACAAGCAGTTGAAACTCAAATTCAACAACTCCATTGAATAAGGTAATATATAATTATAAATAGATAATAATCTCTTGTTGATTAAACTGCTATTCTAATTATTAATTTTTTTTTATATATGGTGCACTAATCTACTACTAAAAATAATGTAAGTGAAGTAATGAAAGTACCTGATTCAATTGTAATTACCGATTAATCCATGTGTTATAAAATTCAAATTCACTATATCGTCATTGTGTAGGTCGCAATTTCTTTTGTGGTACTATGATTCTACATAACACAACCAATGTTTGGTAAAATGCCTATGTTTTTTGTGGTCGCGTTTGAATTACCGAAATGGGTATGACTATTGTGACGGGCCTAAATGTTTGGCGCAGCGGCACGCCCCGTGCGGCACCAAAGCATTGCTTCGGCTCGCGCAAGTACCCTGATCAGCTACCACGACCTGCCCTCCCAAAGATACATGCTGACTAGTTTCAGCCTGCCATGGTCTCATCAGGGGAACGACTCCAGCTCCCGACCAGTTTGTGCAGGGGATGGCCAACTCCCTTCTTCATAGTCAAGTCCATGACCAGCGACAAGTACCTCGAACTGAACCGAGTCGACCTGCCTGAACTCTGAAGAGGAACCATCATGTGCTTCTACACGCCCCTTCCCTGAACCATTCCCAGTCAAACTCTGCTCTTTGCCAACCAGCATGCGTGTCTTCCATCCTCTAAGCATCTTAGGAATCATTTTGTGACATTCTCCCCCACCCAAATCCTGCGACGCCCTCGTCGCAGTGCATCACTTCACTACTGCGTCCACTCCCTTTCAAAGTCTGCCTCTATGCGGCATGCTCGCCTTCCCACCATCGCTTCCTTGTGCAGCTCCCTGCACTGCACTCGCCCAATGATAGGCCTCGGACCAAGGGGACGTCCACTCCTCAAGGACGTGACTCTTCTCTGTCATGCTGCCTCAGCGACATCCCGAGCAAGCAAGGGCCTCCTGCCGACTTGATGCTCGCCTTTCACCATGGTTTGCATCACCCAAGGACTAAGCACAAACTTTGGTGCGCACGGCCCTCCGGCCCTCCAGTGCGCAACTTTAACGGACGCCTCTTCCCAGGGAGATAGAGGCTTTCCTTCCAACTGCATTGATTCCTCCTCATCGACGCAGCTTCAGTGCACCGTCTTCATTCTCAGACCCCTCCCGGATCGACAAAGGGGCACCCCACTGTGCTTTACCCCAAGTCCTGCTCTGATACCATTTGTCACGGGCCTAAAGGTTTGGCGCAGCGGCATGGCCCGTGCGGCACCAAGGCGTTGCTTCAGCTCACGTAAGCACCCTGATCAGCCACCACGACGACCTGCCCTCCCAAAGATACATGCTGACTGGTTTCGGCCTGCCATGGCCTCGTCAGGGGAACGGCTCCAGCTCCCGACCAGTTTGTGCAAGGATGGCCAACTCCCTTCTTCATAGTCAAGTCTATGACCAGCGACAAGCACCTCGAACTGAACCGAGTCGACCGGCCTGAACTCTAAAGAGGAACCATCCTGTGCTTTTGCACGCCCCTTCCCTGGAACCATTCCCTGTCAAACTCTGCTATTTGCCAACCAACATGCATGTCTTCCATCCTCCAAGCGTCTTAGGAATCACTTCGTGACACTATGCTGGAGTCTTCCTCCCATTAATTTGTGAAAAAATAAATAAACCTTATGTTAATTAGAAAAAACAAGGGCAATTAAGTCAATTTGGTGAAAAAGGTCTATTGGTAAAAAAGGATTGTGTGAACAAAATTCACTCTTTTTGAGCTACTGATGATGATATGCAGCCAACCAGTTACCACCACCATTGTAGGGCAGATCAACAGATTCACACATACAAGTATGTGCTTAATAAGCCGTGGGCTTGGCAATGATGGTAGGGGTTTGGGGTTGGCATCCAATCGATCAGTGTTTGACTCTTTCAAAGTCTCTAAATTTTTCCAACTTACATGGTGTAGCTTTGGGGTGAGGCTTTGCACCTCTAGATAAAATTTAGTTTAGGGTGGTTGCCAAGGGCCCTTCCTAGGTGAGCTCGCTAAAAAAAGAAAAAAAGAAAAAAACAGAGTACGTGCTTAATACAATCACGCATCATTTGAAACCCTAGAACTATATTCTCCCCCAGAAATCCAGTACTATCTGGTTCTATTTCTCTCTCTAATCACACGTCTCATCACACTTCCTCCGATTTCTCCTCACCTTTCTTGTGTCTTTGCCTCGGAAACTCAAGAACACATCAAGAGATTCATACATGTATGTGCTTATACACCTGTCCACCCGCAGGATGGGTCGACTATGATGTGTTCTCGAGTTTCAGAGGCAAACACACAACAAAAGCTACATGAGATTGAGGCGCTTGAGGCTTTGAAATCCTTTGAAGATATTGTGCTTGTCATCCTGCATATCGTACAGAAATTTCTGTGGGGATGTTAGGGCTCAATTTCGCCGCTGAAGCTAGTATGCATTCAATCAATCTTTGTTCGAGGTAATCTAATACCTTTGCAATAGAACGGTGTATAAATTGTGAATTGATTAATTTGAGATTTAAGTTTGTTTCTTAGTTAGGGTTTGAGATCTTGTGTTACAAAACAAGCTTCAAAGCTTGTAAGCAATTGAAAATTTTCTGTAAGATTTGTTTTCTTTCTTCAAATTGTTTGGATCCAGAATTAGTCATCTGTAAGAAATGCTATGATTTTTTTGTATATTGGTCGATCCCTCGTATCAATGGCAATTTACTATTGAAATCAAGTACCATAAGGTAAAGAAAAATTGGAAGTTCCTAAACATGCATAGACTTTGTGTAGTTCTGAATCAAATCAGTATAAATGGTCTCTAGTATGCTTACTGCCTAAAGTCTACAAGATTTTTCACAAGGTAACGATTTCATAAGGAATATTATCACTATCTGAGTCCTCAATCAATTTGTGCATTGCTACACAAAGTCTATGCATGTTTAGGAACTTCCAACTTTTCTTTACCTTATGCTTCTAATTATTACTTTTCATAAGGTATGCTTCTAATTATTTTTTTAAAACAATTTGGAAATAACAATTTCAAAATATTTCAGCAAGCTTTGTCTGATTTTTGGTGCAGGAATTGGGCAAAGAGTGATGAGACAGTTCCTACCGCTCATTTTAAAGCCGATTTTTTTCTTCTTCTTAGAGGTGTTTTACTTGCCTCATCAACCGCTAATGTGCAGAAGATTTGATATTTTATATGCTTGAATATTATATAGTCTTAGGTTATATATTCTACTCAATTTTAGATATATGTTAATAATGGCCGTATATACCAAATAACTCCTCAATTTATGGTCTGAGAGCTGGGAAGGACCAATGTTTCAATTTCTGCTTCTATGGGAAAAACAAGCACTCTGGAATGAGGTCTAATGTCTTCATATATACTAGGAGA